GGATTTTGGTCTCTATTACTTTTTTCGATGTACGTTACTGGAAGTTCAGCTTTATTTTTCGTCATGGTTACAACTAATGTAACGGAATGATCGTCACACGTCTTTTTTGCCGTTCGGATTGAGGTAAACTAATTATCTGTTAATTTTGTTATTCTTAGCTAACTAATTTTGTTATTCAATTTATACAGTGAAGCCATCTCAGAATTAGCGCTTGCCGAGATCAGTGAGGGCCTTATAATAAACAGTGAGCCACTTAATAACATAAGATATGCTGACGACACCGTCCTTCTGGCAGGAACACTAGAAGAACTGCAACACCTTACTGAACAACTAAAATATATATTGCAACGATTATGGACTAAAAAATCAATTTGAAGAAAACCAAGTTCATGGTATTTACAAAAGCACAAAACATCAAAGTTAAGCTAGTACTAGATAATACAGAAATTTAACAAATATTTTCGTACAAATACCTTGGAGCATGGATCACAGAAGATACTGATCAGACAAAAGAAATAAGATGCCGCATTGAAATTGCGCGGTCAACTTTTAATAGAATGAGGAAAACTTTTTTGTAATCGCGATATCAATATATCGCTCCGGATAAGAATGGTTCGATGTTATATTTTCTCTACTCTTTTGTATGGAGTTGAAGCTTGGACACTTCAAAAATCCAACATTAAAAACCTAGAAGCATTCGAAATGTGGTGTTACCGACGTATTTTGAAAATATCATGGATGGATCGAAAAACAAACGAACAAGTTCTCGAACAACTAGGAAAAGAATGCGAAGTTTTCAATTCCATAAAAATCAGGAAATTGGAATACTTGGGGCACATCATGAGAGGTGAAAAGTACGAACTACTAAGGAAATATAATGCAGGGTAAAATGAAAGGTAGAAGAAGCGTAGGAAGACGTAAAATCTCGTGGCTACGCAAATCTCCGTGAATGGTTTGGATGCAGTTCAATTGAACTATTCAGGCGAGTAACCAATAAAATTATAATTGCCAGAATGATTTCCAATCTCCGATAGGGGTGGAACTTGAAGAAGAAGAATTATCTGTTGTAGATAGATAGATAGATAGATAGGTTTATTGACAATTTTTACATAGTAAACACTACATGTCATGTCACAATAAAAATAAGTCACTTTTGTATACATAGGAAATAACTAAGAAATAATACAAAAACACATAATAAAACATATACAGTAAAAATTAGATATATACAATTATAAAAAAAAGCAATTCAGTAAGGCGTAATACAGTTTTCATAAAAACGACCACACTAGGAGCTCAAACAAAACAAATTCCTGTATGCTATAGAAACAGTGTTCCAGCAGGAAGTGTTTTGCTAGTTTATAAAATTGTTTAGAATTCATTGCCTTAATATCAATATTTTTGTTTAGGTTTAAAAAACAATTATACAGATTATAATCTATTTGTATTAAGTTGTGTAACACACAATCTGGAATATGGTATAATGATATGACTTTTATTTCTTGTATTGTACTGATGTTGATCAGCATGTGTTTTTACATCTTGTATATTATTGTGAACAGTTAACAAAGTTTCAAATATATATATAATGAATACTGGATATTCGTGACAGTCAATTTTAAACAAACAACAAAGTTTATTGGGGCTGCAGTCAGAAGTTTGGCCGGGATGTTACAGAGAAACACTCTTTTGACTTTTGGTCTAGCTTTCGGAATTGTTTAATTCCTTTATCAAGACATAGTCGTTGAGATTATTTGTAAGAAGCTATGACACTCACATTAATAACAAACATATAAACTATAACTTATACAATAAGGATACAATACATTTTAAAATTTAGTTATAAATAATAAAAGTTCTAAAAATTCGTTTTCTACATCTTCTTGGTGTGTTTTAACTTCCTTGGACTTTAACTTAACTTGTTTAAAACACACCAGAAGATGTAGAAAACAAATTTTTAGAACTTTTATTATGTTTAACTAATTTTAAAATGTATTGTATCCATTATTGTATAAGTTATAGTTTATTTGTTTGTTATTAATGTTGAGTGTCATAGCTTCTTAAAAATAATCTCAACGACTAAGTCTTGATAAAGGAATTAAACAATTCCGAAAGCTAGACCAAACGTCAAAAGAGTGTTTTCTGTAATAACATCCGGCCAAACTTCTGACTGCAGCCCAAATAAACTTTGTTGTTTGTATATATATATATATATATATATATATATATATATATTATATATATATATATATATACATTGAAGGTAAAGAAGAATGCCATACTTTTTAAACAAGGGTTTTACAGCTGGCGCGATAACTTGCTGAGTCAATAATTCGGATTGCTGCTTTTTGAAAAGTGAAAACTTTATATGCATAGGACGAGTTTCCCCAAAGAAGTATGCAATATGTCAGGATACTATGAACCATTCCAAAATAAACTGACCTAAGAATATCTCGACTCTCAGAAGTAGCCAATCTGCGGATAGCAACAATCTGTGAGGCGAGCTTCTTACACAATCGTTCAATATGGTGCGACCAGTTCAACATTGTATCCATAGTAACACCTAGTAACTTTACTGGTTCAGATGGTGTAACCCATCTATAAGAACTAAATACTATTGTCTGGGTTTTCTGCTCGTTTAACTTAAGTTTGTTACAGTTAAACCAGGATTTAGATTTTTTAATATTTCCTGACTGTAATCAGTTTTACCTCTACATAATAAGGTTGTGTCATCTGCACACAGTTGGTGTTATCCAATGCACTTGGTAAATCATTTATATATATCAAGAATAGCAGAGGTCCCAAAACTGATCCCTGTGGTACTCCGGTTGAAACTGGTAAAGGATCAGATTCTTGATTATTAAATGAAACAATCTGTGTTCTTCCTGTAAGATAGGATTTTAAAAGGTCATGTATGGTACCCCTTATTCCATAGTACTCCAATTTTATCAATAGTATTTGAATATCCACACAATCAAAAGCTTTTGTAATGTCACACATTAAGCCATTAGTAGGTTCATCTTCATCAAAACCGCGAACAATATGTTATATTAGTTCTAACAAAGCTTTAGTTGTTTAGTATTTTTTTTTTCTAAAATTAAATTGAGAGCTAGATATAATTGATTTGTTATCCAAATAATTTGCTATACGATCTTTAATTAAGATTTCAAAAATTTTGCTTATATTGTACTATGGTAACTATACTGGTACTATGGTACTATGGTCTGTAATTGTCTGGAGCATTTTTATTTCCTTTTTTATGAAGTGGAATAACTTTTGATATTTGAATACATCAGGCCAGTAACCCTCGTTAATACATTTGTTAAATATTATTGTGAGTGGTTCAACAATTGTATCAAGCGATTGCTTAATAATTTTACTGTTACGTGTAAGGTTACGATATACACCGTGAATTATTGGTTTTGTTAGACTCAACGTGTAGTATTCAGCTACAGGGACACCTACCCGGTGTTGAATTTTTACCGATATACACTTCGGTATTCAAAAGATAAAAAGTTTTTGCATCACATAATGCATTTTAGTTCCGTATTTATCGGGTTTTGAGGGTATATACATTTTGAACGGACATCTGCATCGAAAACTCATAAACTGTTCATCTAACACGTGCAGTACTGTGAAGGCGTATAAAGTTTGATACATTTGGAAATAACTGCTTCAAAAATATCTCACATTGGTGCAAAACGATCTGTTTTACGACGCTCCTTTCTAGTGTCCCTGTCGTCAAACCTGAGGCAATTAAATTTGTAAGAAATGCAAAGCGAGCTTTACTCATTACAGCGCGAAAAAATGGAATTACTGCTTCTTTGATGAAAAGTTCTTTCGATGTTACCGAATTCATATTTAGAACCCCTGCGTAGTAATAAAGTCCGCATAATGCTTTGATTTCTATTAGATTCGTATCTCTCACATAACGTTCTCGTTGTAATCTAATTTTCTTGTTTGTGAAAGCGATAATATTTTTCAGAATATCATCAGTGAAAAGCAGGGATCATGCTGAAATTCCGCTATTTACTTATCGAGCAGCTCCTTTATTTCCAGGTAAATGAATCACTAGATTTCTTTGATTGGTTCGATGTGACTTTTTCTGGACTTTTCCGCTCCATTTGAAGCCATTTTTTCCACGTAGTTTGGTAGACACTTCCTTAATTTGCCCATATTCAATGTCGTTTTCGTTATTTGTAGCTTGAGAGATTCGCACGGAATTTCATGGCTTGTTAAAACTTTGCAGCCAGTCTGACTTCTTTGCTGCTGCGTATCATCATCGTTGGAATTCTCGTCATTCTCCGGAACATAATCATCATCAGAATCTTCATTATTTTTCGGTATATAATCATCGTCGAAATCTTCGTCAGGCTCCGGACTATAATCATGATCGGAACCTTCGCCAGGTTCCGATCTATAATTGTCTATTATTAGGTCATGCTCAGAACTATCATTTTGATCGTCGGGCTCAAAATCTGAGAAATTCTCGATTATTTCGTCTAGTTTTTTTTTTTGGTTGATGGTCTGCGAGCCGTATTATCCATGTTTATACTATAAGAAAAAGCGCATTTAAAACCCTAACTTCACCAATAAAACAAATTACTTACCTAAATACTATTTTCGGATCGATGTAAAAATATAATGGTAATACTACCCAGGGTACAGCTGATCCCCAAAATCAACGCACGTGTTAAACAACAGCACTTAATGACTCAGCGACTGCAAAATAACAACTGACCTGCTATGCTAAAACAAGAAATTACACGTACGTGCGTTACGGTGTTGCCAAAAGTAAAAAAATTACAGGACCTTTACGACAGCCTGGCGTACACCTGTATCCGGTGTAATGTAGGGTTAACATTCATAAATTTGTCTATTAACAACTTTTTACCATTCGCCCGTTGCAGATAAAATAAAATGATTAGTTTTACGAATTAAAAGATTTAAGACATTAGTTATTATATTAACAAATATTTATTTTGTTTTTTCTTTTTCAGATACCTCAGTCGTATTCCTTGAAACATAAAGCTGTAGAGCCAAGCTACTCATCTCGTTTACAAGCAACACAACTTTACTCCAATGTTCCTCCTAGTAATTTCCAATCACATTATTCAAACACTCCAACATTACCTTTAAACAGTAAATATGTGGATCAAAGACCTGTGGACAACAACTACGCTAATTTGTCAAAGAATGATCCATCCAGTCAGTATGCTAATCTTCCTAGAAGTGCCTCTGCTATGAGTAACACTTCCTCTTTATCTAGACAAGGTAAATAATAAATACTTATATATAAACTACAGAACTATTACATTGGCTTTGAGCTGTTGTAGCGATGCGGTCTTTATTTTTGCAGTGCTGTTTTTGGACAAAAAAACCACAAAGAAGCAATTACGTGTTAGCTGTCGAATTATCGTGGTGGACTTTTGTTTCACAATTTTGGGAGTTTCACAATTCTGGGAATTTTTTCGGATAGTTATCGCAAACGGGGGATAACTTCGGGGTAACATTCTTTATTAACCGTGCGGCGTTCTTTTATTTAACGTTTTCGTAGGTTGTTGACGTCTGGAAGGTCCTTTGAGAGCTTCATTAGTAACATATTGGCTTTCCGTGAAGAGCTCGGAGCACTTTGTCAGTTTAAAGTTATGCTAGGCATCCTAAGTCTTCCATTTTTTAACTACTTTAATAGGCAATCTGCCCATACGGACAATAAGCGCTTGTTCTGATACTAATGACTTGTATGGTATACCCCACTAGGTACACTGTCTTATAAAAATAATATGTTACGAGCAATGCCCGAAATTGAACATTCCTAGCATTGTACAAAAAATATTGTCCACTTCTAGCACTGTACCCATTTACTTTACAACCTCCGAAATATACATTAACGTCGGAATTTGTATAAAAGAACAGCTGTATAATGTACGAATTTCAATAAGTAGCGATGCGTCAAAGTTTGGGAGAATATGACAGATATCAATTCATATAAATTTTTACGATTATTCATTTGGATTATAGGATCAACTTATTTTAAATTATCATACACATCTCTTGAAAATCTGAAATGTTTCACACAAAAATGAAGCTTTGAAATCTTTCACTAACATTACTTATCATTTTATTGTAGAACAATGTCTTCTTATTATTTATATTTTAAAAGAAAGACGTTAAGATTTGATTTCACGTACATATAGCGCCTCTGTATATTCGCTTATACATACTTCATCCTAACATCTAAGAGCAACTGTTAGGATGAAATACGTATAAGCGAATATATAGAGGCTCTATAGGTGAAATCAAATCGTAACTGTCTTTCTTTTATTTCTATATACTCTTTATTAGTACTTACTAGAAACCAATTAGCCAAGGATTTTTGTTTAGATGAGGAGATATGTTGTGGAATGCAACTTTTAGATTCCCAATTTTCTCTCTTTAGTTAACATCTGGATTTTGGTTTTGTTAATTAACAATAAATGTTCGATTTTTGATTAATCGCTTGTCGATAATAACACAGGTCAACAATGAATTTGATGTTTTAAAATAAACATCCTTTGTTAGGTAATTTTGACCTCCTGAATCCGAAACTGACATTAGTTTTTTCTATCACCTTCCAATTTTTCGCAAATCGAGATCTTATAAAAATTCCTTGATTATACGAAAAGTTTACATATAAAATTAGAAAAACGGTTTTTAGTGTAAATATATGGCACAAACAGTCCAAAAATATTTTAATAAAATTCTGAATTGTGGCAACACTGTAAGCGGCTGCACCTCTCCCAGTCGTAAATAAACGCATCAAAATCAGTTATCAGTTATTAATTTTTAGCAGTTCAGGTTTATCGCTGTGTTTCGAATTAGTGCTATTTATTTGTTATTCTATTCTTTTTTCGAGCTATGGACAGGAGACATTGTGTTAATAATGCAGACTGCTTTTGTTATACCTATTTGTGGCAGTTTTGTGGTTGCAAAACAAAGACATAACATAACCTTATTTGTTCATAATGCGTAACATGCCTATTTTAATGAAATTTATGAAAATAGAAGAACACGACTACACATTGTATGTAAAGTTTGTGTAGAAGCTTTAAGAAGTTGGACAAAAGGAAGAAAAAAGTCATTGAGTTTTGGAGTTCCCATAGTGTAGCGTGAGCCACAAAACCATTCTGATGATTGCTACTTTTGATCCTGCGATTTAAAGGGATTTAATGTTAAGAATAAAAAAAGTATTTTATACTCTAACCTAAAATCTGCTATTAGGCCTATTTCTCATGGCTCTGATGTACTCGTACCTATTCCACCAAAGGAGTTAGGGAATGTGTTATCGTCTGATTCGGAACAGTCTGCATTTGAGTCCACAGATCCCGACGTTACTTTTGAAGCAGAAGAAGGATCCCAACTATTTAATCAAATGGAATTAAACGATTTAATAAGCGACTTAAATCTTTCCAAAGATGCCTCAGAACTTCTAGCCTCTAGATTTCGTGATAAAAATTTGCTGGCTCCAGTTAATCAACCAGTTTCTACAGAAATCAAGAAAAGGACCTGAGTCCATATTTTACTCAAGAAGATTCTTTAGTATATTGTAACAATATCTCCGACTTAGTTATTAAGCTAGGAGCTGCGTCTTATGAAAAGGAAGAATGGCGACTATTTATTGACTCTAGCAAAAGTAGTCTAAAAGGTGTTTTACTGCACACTGGTAATACACTGGCTTCTGTTCTGGTCGCTCATTCTGTTCACCTTAAAGAAACATACGAAAACTTGGAACTTCTCTTAGAAAAAATGAAATACTGAGACCATAACTGGATGCTTTGTGGAGATCTAAAAGTTCTGTGTATGCTACTTGGGCAACAGTCAGGTTATACTAAATATCCTTGCTTTATTTGTGAATGGACAGCCGAGCACGAGATAAACATTGAACCCAAAACGAATGGCCTACAAGAGAAAACCTTACGCCAGGAAGTAAAAACATGAAACACAATGTCTTAGTTGATCGTGAAAGAATTTTATTGCCCCCTCTGCATATAAAATTAGGTTTGATGAAACAGTTTGTTAAAGCTATTGACAAAAACGGAGAAAGTTTTAAATATATTTGTTCAAAATTTCCCAAGTTGTCCGATGTAAAATTAAAAGGAGTTTTGTTGGTCCCGACATTAGACTTTTTGGAGCGACGAAAATTCAAATCTATGACGCTTATCGAAAAGAAAGCGTGGACTTCATTTAAAGAAGTTATCGAAAAGTTCTTGGGAAATAAGAAAGTTCCAGACTATGAGAACATTGTCACACAAATGCTACAAAATTTTCGTATTCTAGGATGCAATATGAGTTTAAAAGTACATTTTTTATTCGCTCATCTAGACCAATTTCCAGGAAATCTTGGAGCTGTTAGCGAAGAGAAAGGGAAACGTTTCCACCAAGACATTAAGCAGATGGAAAGACGTTATCAGAGTAAATGGAGCGTATCCATGATGGCAGACTACTGTTGGATGCTACAACGTGATAATCCTGACAAAATTTATAGAACAATTTCTACCAAACTTTCTTTATTTTGAGCATAACTCTTAATATATTAATAAATGTATTTATAAGCACATTTAGGTGTTTTTATTTTAATTTGCTAAATTGGTTTGCAGAATTGGAATCAGAGCACCAAAATTATATAAAATCACTTGTCAAATTTAAAACATCTTTCAAAAAGTTTTTTTTGGTAGACCCGTGTAATCGATTCGAATCGAAGAGCGTTTATACAATCATTTTGAATTTTGATCATTTCTGACATTGTACAGTTTGGGGGTAGAATACTGTGGACAATCATTTCCGTACAATGCTGGGATTGTTCAATTTCGTGGTTCGCTCGTAACGTATACACTATTGGCGACGTGCAAGTACTTGAATGTGATACGAAAAACGATCGTGCGCGAGTAGTAGCGGAGAAATCTTGCATTTTTTACTGCACATTTCATAGATTTCATAAATTCAATATTGTCGATTGTCAAATTGTCATATTTCATATTCGTTTGTTTATTCATTGATAGCACTTCTTCTGTCACTGAAGAAAATGGGATTTAGTAAATGCTGTGTTATAATTGTAAAAATACAACAAAAAATTGTCAATTTAAGTTTTATTTTTTTCCAACTTCGAAGCACAAATTACTACAAAGAGAAAAGTGGATTTATATCATAAAAAAGCATAAGTAACATAATCTAAATTATGCATTATTCTTGCGCCCGATTTTAAAGTCAGTGAATAAATAATAAATAAAAGTTCACTTTTAAGTGAAAATTTTAGTTTCATAACACTCACTTAGAGTTCACTTTAACCCAAAAATAAAGTTTAATGCTAACAAGTTTAGCTATGTATTACATAGCTTTGTCCATTTTTTCTTAATTCTTCCACATCGTTAACATAATTTGCCACTACTAAAGCTTTTCCCTTTGACTCAGTGCTTGGTTGAAAAGTTATTTGGTGATTTACTTTCACAAATCCAGTTTTTATTATTGCCTCTATATTAACAGTAATGCTCTAATTTAATAATGTATTTATTTGTATTTACACTAAATACAACGTTTACCTTTTAATAACATACCGACATAACCTCAATCTTACTTTTTCTTATTCTTTTTTGGAGCTACGTCCTTGACAGTTATCCGGTAACCTCGATCTAACATGAAAGCGCAGTAAATTTTGCTGATTTACGACACCAGGTGTCGCTCTTCCGAACTTGCACTGGTCCCAATAAGCGAAGAGGTTTTTGCTTAATTTTAATTAATCCTAGTAATTAAGACTGCAGATTTGAATTTTTTGACTCTTCTTGATTCGTCGACGACTTCAAACAATCGTTTGGCTAGCACATTCGGATTCACTAAGGCTCTGTTGCTGTATGTTACACTGTATTAACTTATCACTTCTTTCACTGATGGGATTGTGTATCTCTTTGGATCACTTAATTCGGTTCATAGTAAAGTGTTCTCGGACGCGACTTAGATCACGTTCGAGACGCATCGCCCCGCCCGTTACTTTTCCCGTTGGCCCCTCCCTGACCTGGAAATCCCTAATCGCTACTTCAGAAAGTATAAAATAGGCGATTTTCAGGTCAATCAAATCCAGTCCTTCACGGGCTCTCCGAGAGCTCAGTGCTCTCGGGGCTCTGCTCTTGTTTTTAGCTTTATCCATACTCTGTGGCTGAGATGTTATTCTACTGCAACCTGGTATTTTTATTTCGACTTAACCTTTGTTATGTAAGAAATATCTTGCCTTTTTCAAGGCAACGATACCAGAAGAAAACATTTACGAGTCCCATACCCTGTAAATAGACTTGTGTAGAGGTGTTTCGTTGACATCTCCGAAGCCCTCTACAGAGCACCCGGAGGCAATAGAAGAGTTTAGACCCTTTTCATTTCCCCCGCGGTGACATGGCGCCCGACAACGTGGTTAAAATCCGCACCCACGACTCAACTCGAATTCACAGAAAGCTGCAGACATTGACTTCAACATGGGTTTGAAGTCAAGAGAAGAATGGGGAGAACCACGGAGTGTTAGGAAGCTATACTCCTAACACTCCTACATCGAGGCCTTCTGCAGACCAGATGCCTTCGACGTGCAGGCGTCTTTGACGAGCCAGCCTTCTTCGAAGTTAGAAGCCCCAGATGCCGATGAAAGTCCCGGAGTAGACTTCGTTAGTTATGTAAGAAATAACTTGCCTTTATCAAGGCAAGTCGCCGATAGAAGAAAACCTGATGGTTTTATTTCGTCGAATATTCTCGTCATGTAAGAAATAACCCGTCTTTTTCAAGACGGGTTCATCAGAAGACAACTTTCCACAAGTCCATAACCTGAAAGTGGACTTGGGTAAAGGTGCTTTCGTAGACGTTCTCGAAGCCCTCTACAGAGCACATGGTGGTACAGAAGGTGATTCAGACCCTTTCCATTTACCCCGAGGTGACAAAAGGGTATCCAGGATCATTCTTAGTGACTTGTTTTAGAATTTTTGAATTATTTCTATATTCCTATTGGAGCAGGCTACCTAGAGCTGGATTCTGTAGATCCCGATTGGTTTTAAAATGGCTTTGTAGATTAGTAGTTTGTTTTCTACAGATAACTTTCGAGTTCCTGTCTATAATGCAATATAATTGGCTTAACTTGAGTCCTACTTGCTTAGTGCTTTCGCCAAGTTTGTCTTTTGTCAAGATTCATTCCTAAATATTGAACGTTATCAGCTTGAAGTAAAGTGTTTGTTTTTCAATTGGACTGGTGGATATGTCTCTTTGCGGAGATTGAATGTGATGTGTTTTGATTTTGCTTCGTTTGCTTTCATGCGCCATGAAGGCGTTTTATTTTATATAATAGACCAGTATGCCATACTTTGTCGAATGCTTATGTCATATCGATAAAGGCTAGAGAGCAGCAGCGTTTTTCATTGAAATTATCATGGATCTTACCAACTATTGTATGGACGTGTTCTATAGTGTCGTGATTATTACGAAAACCAAATTAATGATCCGGAATTGAATGCTTAATTTCTATTACTTCTTTCAGCCTTTTGACATATAGTTTCTCGAAACCTTTGGATATAATTGGTAGACGAACAGTAGGAATTAATTTACTCTAACTTATTGCTTTTTTTTAATCATTCTTATTTGTGCAACTTTCTAAATCTTAATCTGTAATATCTCTCCTGAAGATCTTTGCCTGTGATAAGATCATAACCTGAGGCGTAACATTCAATCCTTTCATGATTACGTTTATAGTTTTCCTTAGCTGAAATTTATTTATTGGTAAGTCCATCTGCTATTGGTCATTTAGTGTTTCCTCTATTAGTTTAGTGCAGTGGCGCACCCAGGGGGGTTTGCGTTTAACGCCCCCCCAGGACCCCATTCCGACAGTTATTTACAAATTTTATGGACTTAAAATGGTGGAGGTAGCATAAAAAAATTTCGGTGCCCAACCAACCCCCCCCCCCAGAGGAAAATTCTAGGTACGCTACTGCTTTAGTGTATCCTTACGATCGTAGTGACCGAAAACATTTTTTGTGTTCTGTAAAAGCTTCTGTTTTTTTTTAATCTCTTTTTGCCCACATATTTCTGTTTCTTATAAGTCATTATAACATGAGAAGAAAAATTTAACTATTTTCCACCTCTCTACAGCGAACAATTTAACTATTTTCCATGGACGTATTTTCCGTCAGAGATTATTATTGGAGGTTCGACTGCATCACAAAATGTATAGCTAATGTTACTTATAGTAACATTAGCTAGTCAGTGTATAGACGAGAAAAAGTACCAAACTAAAAAAATAAACATATTTATATTATTTTATATTTCATATTTTTAATAGAAGAAGGCTAAAACAAGATTAGTTGCTATTGACTTATCGAAAATAGTTGTTACATTTTAGTCCATATTCAAATTCAATTACTATTTTATTTAAAGAAATGTCATAACCCAATACAAGTCATAAAAGCCATTGTTTATTTCTAATATTCTACTCTTTGTTCTGAACATTTCAGAGCACCTTTACAACTCTGCGATTTTTAAAACTCGGTACAATTATTTTGTTGTAATTACTTGACATTTTTCATTTTAGGAAATTATGGTTCTAGCATACAACAACCTAGCGAATACGCTATTAAACAGAGTTCTCAGCCAAGAGCAACAAATATAACTCCCAAGGGCTACTCAAAAATGGATAATGTGACTTATAGTAATATTCAGGTATCTATTGATATTGGTTATTTTCTATTAAATCTATAAAATTTCACCCATTCGTCCATCCATGGAGAATGTAAAACACTGCAGGATCTGTGATAAATGTAGTGACATTTTTAGTTAAAAGTTACATACACTTCATCTAATTTATATAACGATGCACGTCATCGACGTCATAGCCTGTGACGTCACATGCTACCAACACAAAATATTTAGGTGTAGGTGTGTTCTTTTTTAGAATCACTTTACCGAGTACACTGGCATTACAGCCACTAGACATATTTTATTATATACGCGTAGAAATAATATTTAAAAATTTCTATTAATGTTAACTTAAAGAAATACACAATAATATGTTTCATTTAATTTGTATAAATGCATTATAAAGCGTTTTTATCAAGATCATTTGTTCGGAACACACTGTAACTGTAATCGAATGAAGGTAAAATTTTGGCATAAATTGGTAACACTTATTTGACAGTTGCGGTGTTGACACTTTCTGTACTGCATTATTTTTAATTTTAAAGTGAATATCTCTTTTTTTATATTTTCAACTATTTAATAAAATCTGTTCTTTTTAGAACAAAATTAGTGTGTTTTATTTCAAAAAGTCACGTAAGAATTTAAATAATCGTTGTAAAGAGATGGTAATACTTTTGCAATAATTATGTAATCTATTTGATTTAAAATGGACTCAGGATTTTTTATATACTTTGGCAACTATGTCAACTTCGATCTCTGATGTAGATAATGACGTAAGTCGTTATCTAAATTAGATGAAGTATAGAAAGTGTTTAATTTTTAAGAATATATACTGACATGGAAATCCGAACGCGGTATTATATTTTGAAAATATTGTTAAGTCTTTATTAGTTCTAATTTATTGTTCTTATTTTAATTTACTAAAGGTTCAATATTTGTAGCACTTACAAATTTAATTTATTTAAAGTTTATTTATATTACTTTATCTTACAATAATTTATATATACGAGCGTTACATTTAAAATACCCGATCGCGATATCTTCTTTTGACTAACTCCCTTTCTAACAGAATTCCTTCTTTAAATATAGAACTCCGTTAGTTTCGGAATCCTCTAGAAGCAGACATAATTGACTCGATCATTGGGGAAGACTGGTTGTGGCGGTGTTGACAAGAATTGCCTCGAATTAACGGGAACTCAGGCTGGTTTTCTTTTATCGGATGGGGGACCCATCGGTTATTACCTGCGTCTCCGCCGGCCGGTGCGTGATCTAGAAAGTACTAAATAGAAAAGATATTAGTCATAATATATTTACAGTTTTATACGCCATAATATTTATTATCGTAAAAATATTTTGTACAATTATACAGGGTAGCAACAAATGAACATATAATTTCAATATGATTGAAACAACTTAAATCAATTAATCAACAATCAATTAATAATGTGTTGATGCACCTGGGTTGGCAACACACTCTTGGATGCGCTTCTGATTCTTCTTAGCCTTCTCTCTTCCATTTTTGGACATAGGCCTCTCCCAACTCCTTCCATCTATCTTTATCCTGAGCAACATACTTAAAATTTGTTCTGGCTATTCTTTTGATGTCGTCCACTTATCTCATTCCATAAAATCAGGAAATTGGAATACTTGGGGCACATCATGAGAGGTGAAAAATACGAAACTACGAAGGAATATAATGCAGGGTAAAATCAAAGGTAGAAGAAGCGTAGGAAGACGTAAAATCTCGTGGCTACGCAATCTCGTGAATGATTTGGATGCAGTTCAATTGAACTATTCAGGCGCGTAACCAACAAAATTATAATTGTTAGAATGATTTCCAATCTCCGATAGGAGTGGAACTTGAAGAAGAACTCATCTCATTTGTGGTCTTTCTCTTGGTCATTTACCTTTACGCTTCTGATCAGTTTGTCAATATCCTCCTATTGTATGTCGTTCCATGCTGTAATTAACTTCAGTCTCTCAAAGTTTGAGGAGGATGCTCTAAATTAAGAAGTCTCAGTCTGTTCAAAGCCGCTGAAAAATTGGATGTTGGAGCTCCTATAGCTAGGGTATAAGATGACGTTCCAGAATTTTTTCTACGTATTACTAAGCTGTCATGTACCCTGTGACGAAGATTAGAGGTGACCTTGAACTATGGGCAATGGGAACCACGCCATAACTCTTAACAGTGCGAGGCACGAGCCGTTCGACAACAACTAGATTTGGTTTTTCACCAAGTCGTCGCCTTGCCTTGGCGTCACTAAAGACAACCCCATTCCATTCCTGATCCCAAGCCAATCGTTCTCGGCACCATTCAAGACGATTACGTCGATGTTCAGGAAGCACCCAGTGTGGCGGAAATGAAAAAAGGTCAAAACAAAAGGATAAATTGTTCGCATTCCAATTGGTCTGTTTCGCAACCATTGATTTGCAATAGACCTGGTAGTGGAGAAGCGGTCTCTTAGAGCGATTAAGCTTAGTCGACTATCTAGACGCTGTATTGTTCTTCGGTGCCCCTTAATTTTCCTGTTTCGCCTTATTGACGCCATACCCGATATCTTAATATAGTATCTAAACTTCTGTAAACTTTATTGGCAATTTCCCCGAAAAGTTCCCGAGAAAAAAAAAAGTCCGACTTCTCTTAAGCCAACTGTCTATTCTTATTAAACTTTCTGAGTTAATGGAAGATTGCGCGTCTTCGTAGTGAAGGCATTGTAAAAGACATAAAAAAACCAAGAACCGCACACCGCTATATTTTGATCTGTGCTAAATTAAAAAGTTAAAATTTTTAGTGGTTAGCAAAGGGCAAAAGAAGGTTAAAATTGCCACAGCGGAACAGCATCACAAAAGATGAAGATTCACCAAATTTTATTCCAAAATGTTGACACATAACGTCAAAATTCCATAAAAGGTCAAAAATCGTTTTTTAGCCATAACTCGCTTAATTTTTTACCAAAATAGATTTTTTTAGTTGAAAATTTTTTGTACTCTACAAAACTATTTGAACGAAAATGAGAGTTGGCGAGAAATTCAAATTGATTTGAGTTTGAAAATTTTAAACGCCTATATAAAATATAACAAAAAATACGGATTGCTCGAAAAAAATATATATATGATGTACGATCACCAAAACTATGTTCCAGAATTTTTTCAAAAAGCAGTATTACAAGACAGTTAAATCGAAAAAGCGGTTTTTATGCCATCCATTGAGTTAAATTTTTAGTTAGAGATGCGTTAGTTAGAGTTACTCTTTTAAAAGTTATTTTAGTAACTAGCTGACATCAATACCTTTAATTTGGACCTATTTTGGACTCTTAGAACTAGAGTTACGGAGATTTAAAAGATGAAAATCTAAAATCTTAGAACACAAGTTATAATGATTTAAAAGAAAAAATCTGGTTAGAATCTTCGGTTTTCTGGTCGTTTTACCATTTTTCGCCGGTTTGTGTTATATTTCTAGTTAGATTATTATTTAATAATTTTTTTCCAAAACTGAAATCGAAAGTTGAATTCTAGATTTGACCTTGTGAACCACTTAAATGATCAACTCAGAACGTCTGCTCATAAACATCATAAAGAGGAGAAAACAGAATACTTCGGCCATATAATTAGAGGACCCAAATACCATTTACTTCGCCTTATAATACAAGGAAAAGTGGAAGGAAAGAGATGGATTGGTCGAAAGAAACTTTCATGGCTGCGTAATATTAGACAATGGTGTGGTTTCACAGTAGAAGAATTATTTCGCGCAGCAGCCGACAGAGAAAGGTTTCAGGAAATTGTAAGCATGATGACGGCCAACGTCTGATTACGGACACGGCACCCAAAGAAGAAGAAGAACCACTTAAGCTGAGCAATCGGAATCAAAAATTAGTAATTTGATAAATAAAAAGGTTTTGCTATTTTTTTGCTATTTTAATGGGTATTTAACTTAATATTCACATATGAAACATTTTCTGTGCGCAACTATGGTTCTTTGGAAATATTCAATTTCTTTTTCTTCTTTAACATTACGATCAAATACTTAGCGAGAAGACTGAAAAAGCGGATGGAGCGTCGGAAGATTCTTGGCTGCTTTTTTACTTCTTGGCTACTCTTTACCTTGACTTTCACATTTTCAAATTTTCCATTTTTAAAAGTAGTGTCTTTCTAACTAAAACTATAAGTCAACAACGGCAAAAACGGTTCTGATCAGATTTTCGTCTTTTAAATCAACATAACTCTGGGGTCCAAATTTCAGCTATTTACTCAATGAACTTTTAAAAGAGTAGCGCATATAACTAAAAATGTAACTCAATAAACGGCGAAAAAACAGCAAAAAAACGTTTTTATTTTTTCTTATTTTTAAATGCATTGTTTAAGAATTACCCATAAGAATTACCCCTTTAAGAATTCTGAAAAAATTTTGGAACATTGTTTTGGTGATCTTACATCATAAATATTTGTTCGAGCTATCCATACTTTTTGTTATTTTTTTAACGGCGTTTAAAATTTTCAAACGCTCAAATCAATTTGAATTTACCGCCAACTCTCATTTTTGTTCAAATATTTTTGTTGAAGACGAAAAACCTTCGAAAAAAAAAAATTTTAAAATAAAATAAATCTATTTTGGCAAAAAATTAAGCAAGTTACATCCAAAGAATGATTTTTGATGTTTTAGGGAATTTTGAGATTATGTGTCAATATTTTGTGTTAAAATTTGGGAAGTCTTCTTTTTTTATGTCGAACAATACCACAAAATTTGGAGTTAAGTTATCCCTGTGGGAATTTTGACATTATTATCCGGCTATGCCCTTAAAAAAAAAAGATTAAAAACGGAAAGCTAAACTTATATAGCCAAAATTCTAATCATTTATTGTTTTTACCAAGATAAGCCCATATATACAAAATTTTATTAATAAAATAAAATAATTTGTAATGGGTGTTGGGATTTCTATGTCACTTGGTATATTTTGAACATTTTCATTCTTGTATTACTTACTACATAAATTCAAGAAATTCATTTTGTCTGGCATTTTTACACACTTTTGGTATTCTGCCAATTTAGACACTGATTTAGTGCCATGAAAACAAATTGTAATGGTATATGTATATATTTTATTAAATACACTTACTTTTTAGATGGGTCCTTCCAGAAACCAAGATGGCCTAATTTATAGCAATATTGTTCATCCTCAACGAGAGGGTACTGTCTATAGCAATATGCCTCCCAGCAACAATGCATACGCCAATGGAGGTATGTAAATAAAGTAGTCATGTTTTTTTTAACTTTGGAACTAAAAAACTACAAATTTTTTACAAACAATGATTGTAAATGTCAAAAATACGGTAAAATCACAGAATATATCACTCAACAAGAAGCGAATCGAAAGGCTTTTTCGCAATCCAAATTTCTGTGATATCTGCCATATTCTAAATAGTTTAGCTGTCAACCTATAAAAACTGAAGTTTGTTTACTTATTGAGTAGTGTTGTTTCGTGTGTGTTGCGTAATAGTAAAAAAACAATAATACTAATAATAAATAAATATTTTTGTATATACATGTACACATTTTAATACCTTAAACAATATATATATATATATATATATATATATATATATATATATATATATATTGTTATTATATATATATATATATATATATATATATATATATTGAGGCGTCAAGAGACCAAGAAGACGTCCAAATTTAAGATGGGACTATGACATAAGGAAACAAGCCGGTACAACATGGCACAGAAAAGCGAATATTAGACAGTCGTGGGCAGACATGAAGAACGACTATGTAAGGGAGGCTGCCACCATAATTGGTAGAATACGCTGATAATGATGATGATGATGTATATATATATATATATATACAGTAGTATAATTAATAATAATACTGTTATACATATTTTAATACCTATATTAATAAAAGAAATAGAAATCGACTGATTTTCATCTCTATTTTGAAATTAACTCTCACATGACAAACATCAAAGGTACCGACAAAGCTTTCGCTTCTTGTTGGGTGATGTACTCTGTGGTAAAATGTTTAAATTTATCTTTTCTACAAATAAATTGTCTACTTCTACATTAAGCCTATAATTTTTAATTTAATAATAAATTTTTAATAAATAATTTTCCTGAGATATGACATCTCACATATGACAATTGCATGTTCTTTACTTTTGCGTTTATGTCACGAATTTTTATGTGTGCACATCTACGTACTTACATTCAATTTTATAACTCCGTATTTTAACAATATGACAGAACAGACAGATTATAGGGATTGAATATTTTTCATTATACGGAAATAAAAATTTTAAAAACAATTCGATCACCTCTCTCTCTCTCTCTCTCTCTCTCTCTCTCCTCTCTCTCTCTCTCTCTAGTCGTTTTATCATTATTGAGTGGCGTGATTTTTGCCACATGCGCAACTATCCCTTTCTATCGGCTTCTACCTTGGGCTGCTCTCTTTTGGAAAATGTCTTGCCACTGGCTTTTGCATTTGTTCTTTCCATCGAGTGAGTGAGCAGCCTCTGCTACTACCTTCAACGTTTCCCGAAATTATAAGTCTCCTCGACATTATCATTACTTCTTCTTGCAATATGTCTGAAAAGCATAAAACACCTGCCAGACAAATAGAGATAGTCTAATCTGAATGTTAAGCTCTGGGAGGATTGACTGATTTGTTCTGTGCTCTGTTTATGAGATCATTGTCTATGTTTAGGACCTGTAACTGAATATATGAAAATTAAGGCACACACCAATCCAACTCATAACATTTTTGACCATTAATATTTTCCCACGTCTTTCGGTTTCACAAGAGCCTGCATTAATAATTTAGGATACTATAGATAATTTAAGTCGTTAACCATTTCAAACTGGTCCAGGGCTCCAGTTGTTTGAAGTGAGTTTGATCTTCACTCCAATTATTTGACTTTAAGCAAATCTACTACAATGACTTTTCTGTCCTTCTTCTCCAAAGGGCACTAGATGGCGCCTGATAGTGCCCTTTGGAGAAGAGGGGCAGAGAAGTTTTTGTAGTAAGTTTACTTCAAATTAAACTAGATTGCACCAGTCAGTAAATGACTGAAAGGTTTTGTATTAACCACTTATACGAATGGAAATGTCTTACCAGGAGGTTTGTCTGAAGAGCTAAAAATAGCGAAACACCTGTCACAGAATAGCAGGTTTGATGGGATGTGAATATTCCTTCTCGTATATTATTTACACATATATTGCTTTGGGCTTCAACTAGATGCAGCAGGCTTAGCATTTTGTTTGCGATAGAGATACCGCTATTCCATTTGTCAAGTGCTTTTCTCATTATATATTCCCCATAGAAGTTGAAGAGATTCGGAGCTAGAATACATCCTTAATGGTCTTCCCTATTTACTTTAATAGGGTTGAACTTACGGATTTAATTCTTATTCTGGTTTTATTATTCTTGTATAGACTCTTCACCAGAACTGACAGATGATCAGGAACTCCCCATCTTGTGTATGATTTTTTACAAAACGTTGCCAGTTTACACAGTCAAATGTTTTCTTATAATCCAGAAAATATGACCACGAGCATTTTTAATTCTCAAGCTTTTTCAATGAGCTATTGTAATTTATTGAGAATTTGCTCCATTGTACCTTTATCCTTAACGAATCCTGCTTGTTCTAGTGGTATTTGTCTATCCCGGTCAGGTATGTCTGCATGCGACGTTGATGATTCCCAATAGAATTTGACTTGGGCGGTAAATTAGTGAGATATATCGGTAGTTACTACATTTTGATAAAACTCCAGCACTTCCTAAATATTCTTGTAGTATAGAATATATTTAAAGCCCTCATTCTTTATTAATGTTTTTGTACTTATTTCTTTAATAGAACAGTAAAACTCACAACTTTCTCTGGGAGCCAATTGTTAGGCATCATCTAGCTTAATCTCTCAGGTGTGAGAATGTCTTATCTTAGAAGTAAATCTGAAAAATTAGTTTGACTGGGACAAATAAACCAAGGTATTAACTAATCATATTTATTGTACGTAAAAAATATATAAAATGTAAATTTTAATATCAAGTTGAAAAACAGAGCAAATTTTGGCTACAGCTTTACAAAAAGATTTTAAAAATGATATTTATGGCTTCACAGGATTACTTACTGATAACTAATACCTAACCTAACCTAAGCAGCTATTAAGTTCTACATATCTTCTATGTTGCTGCAGTTGTTATCGCATGTGTGGTGCACTACAAGGCTTTGGGAAGTTCCACCCAACAAGAGAGAGCAAGAAAAATTGATTTTAAGTCAAAAAACCCAAGAAAGATTTTAAATATAATTGATGTTTCAATAGAAGCATGTCTTTTTATAAATGGACATTTATAAAAAAAAATTCCCTTGACACTGACATGACAGAAGTAAAGAGTAGCCAACTGACAGATATACTTTGTGGATTGAAGTGGAGCATATCATTTAATATATATGTTCTATCTCATAGAACATAATGTGGTCTGGATAAAGTGAATTAAACTATTTAATGAAAACTAAAATTCGAATTTAGATTATGACAGAATATTTGGTAAATTGATCGAAAAGTTAAGCGCCAACTATTTTTAAAATACAAATAGTAAAGTAAAAGATAAAGTTAAAAGATGAATAAAATCGAAAGAAATTGAAATAAAACAATGATTTAAATAAAAATAACGAACATTTGATGTTTTAACGTTACAAAATGTTTCAATTTTCCGTAAGCATTTTCACAAGCTTTTATATTCACATTTTCCAGATGATTTGCCGCCGCCACCTCCGCCACTTGATATGTCTAATGCTTTAGCTGACTATGCACCATGTACAGTGAACACCAGCTTACCCCCTCCTCCAAAGGAGTTATTACCCCCTCCATCGCCGGTTAGTTCGAGTTACAGTGAACTGAGGAGAGCTACCCAGCCAGGACAAGATTTTCATAATTACAGCATGGGATCTCAAGTAAGTTGAAGTATTTTATTTAGTTTCGAAGTTTCGATTAAGTAAATATTCCATGTATCTTTTTAAATAAGTTTTATAGACAAAATCGTTTGAAGTACACAACGAAAACTACTCGTATTTCTATTTTCACTGTGAATTCGCAGGAACAAAATCCGCATAGCCTAGATCATATCCAACCTTCGATAAAAGGTGTAACTTGAAGAAGTAAGGAATTGAATGTTACATGGCCGTATGAGGGCAACTTGATTTGAAAATTTTAAACAAGAGTATTTGTAAAACAAAACTTTTAATAAAATGATCTAATACTGCAACTTCATTTAAACATTGAAATTATTCGATTACAAAAATTATAATCGTGCACCGATTCAGAGATTATGGACTATTCCAATTTCCATATCTCTTCAACTAAAGTTATTATTTTATTAATGTGTTTTGTTCATTGATAAAGAAAAATTATGGAAGAAGATCCAGATGAAACACAGTTTGGTTTAAGATATGGGTTAGGAACTAGAGAAGCACTTTTTACATTAAATGTTTTGGTACAGAAGTGTCGAGATCAACATAAAGATGCCTTAGCTGTTTTTATTGGTTATGAAAAGGCATTCGATATAGTGTATCATGACAAGTTAATTAAAATATTAAGAGATAAAAGAGTTAATAGCTGCGACGTCGGGATTATTGAAAAATTGTATTGTTGTCAAACAGCGACCATTCTATTGATGAGAAGTCGACAGTAGAGTGTAAGATTCTACATCTAAAGTAAGTCAGGTGAGGCTATGTACTGTCTTCACTATTGTTTAATTTATATTCAGATAGCATTTTTAAACATTCTTTGCACAACTTGGAATATGCAGATGACACAGTTATAATGAGCAATGATTTAAATGGATTTCAATGTCTTTTAAACTCTATTAACACGGTGGGACGAGAGATTAATTGTTCTAAAACAAAATACATGATATTTAGACGGTTATCCAAGCCTCAACAAGAATGAACACCTTACTACCTATAGAACAAATGACTGAAAACCGAATGCAAATAAAAACATTATATTAAAGTAACACAATATTTATATATCAAAAACATATAAAAATGTGACTATAGCTACAGCTACTAAACATAGCCAGCCCTACATTTCTAGACATAATAATTAAACCCTAATACGCTGAGATAACGTAACGAAAATGTGAATAATTATGTTAACCCTTTTTCTACTGACGGTAATTTAAAGTATTATCCTATGCAAAACCCAAGAACTAAAATCTGTCAGATAACTCTGTAAAAACCTATTTTCACTGTTTAAAATTTCACTGTACCTGTTTTTTGACAGAACCACTAAAACATAGCTTTAAAATTATTTTAATATATTAGGGTTACAAAGTTATACCAAGAAAGACGAGTAGTTCTTCTTTTGTTAAGATTAAGGATTTTTCCTATTTGAATTGCATACAAGTTTGAATGAAAAACAATATGATCCAAAGTTGGCCCTAGGAGTTAAAAAAAATACGTCAGCGCATGTTTGAGGGTTACCAAAGAATTTCTCGTTTATCAGTTGACACTGCTGAAATTCGGGGATCGGTGGTAACTTTTTCTGATTTTATGCATTTTCTTTCCGATTCTATATTATTGTCTTCATCTTCACATTTTCTGTTTGTTGATTTCCGTCTTCTACACATTCAACTTCTTTGTTGTTAACTGTGTGTTGATGATTATCCAATAGCTGTTGCTCCTCATCTTGAAGACCTCCAGAAGTTTGTGGATCAGTTTGATATATCCTTGGTTGGGACAACTGAATGTCAAGACTCTTCGTAACCTGATTCAGTGCCAGTATCCATACTATTATCTATGATAAATTAATCAAAATGGTCATTTTCAATAATATCTAGCAGTTCTACATCAGTAAGTGGCCTTTTCATATATTCTTTCATGGACCAACTGCAAAGAAATTTTGAATAAATTCGCAAAAACCTATTAAGTTTACCTTATAATTAGTAATATTAACTCAGATAAAATACATTGAATGAGCTGATTTGGCGAGAAAGGTATTGGGAACTTTCTGACGAACACCATAAAATAAAATATCTGCGCTCGCAATTTAACTTAATATATTCTAATACTTTCCCTAAACGTACCGTACAAATACAGTTTTTGTATTTTGAGAACGATTTCCGAAGTGGAAATTGAAACGTCAATAAACGTATTTTTTATCTTTAATTGTGGCTTATTCCCAGTTTAATAGTAATTAATTTACAATGCCACAAGAAAATAGCTTCAGAACAATATTAAGAAACATGTACTGTTATTGTAGACATATTTATACCTAGTTAAAATGGATGGTACTTATGACTAGTACTTCTGAGAGAATGTAACTCTTACGTTTTTATGTTATTTGGTAGACAAAGGGTTAAACTGCTATTTGAGAATATTACTTCTCGCATTTCTTATACCTTTAGATAAGAGTGTCAAATCTTGTTGGCGTCTATCCATTTTCTCCCCATTTCTTTCATGTCTTCCGGTCTTCTGCCTTCCTTCATCTCTTGCACTGCTTTCCTCTCTTGGTCCTGATTTTCTGGATTTGTTCCATCCACCTCTTTCTAGGTCTACCTCTTTATTGTTTTTTGGCCCCTGTCACTTACTTTACTAGTCTGTTCTCGTCCATTCTAATTATGTGTCCATAGCGTTTTTTTTTCTATTTTTTCTCTATTGGTTCTTGTTTTAGCTCGTTTCTGATGTTTTCTTTAATTTTCCTGTCCAGCTTCGTCTTTCCAGCTATTTTTCTCAGCTGCTTTATTTTTGCTGAATTTTCTGGTTTCCTGGTAGATTTCATTTTTTCCCAATATCGTATTATTTATTGCATTGTATATTCTCGGTGTGATCTTTTTTTGCCTATTTACAATTTCTAGATCTAGTTTTTCATTGTTTGATATAATCGTGCCCAGGTGCTCGTAGGCTGTCACTATCTCTAATTCTTGTTTTTTATAGAACACTGGGGTTTCATTTCCAATATTCTTCTACTGCTGACCTATTTTCACTTGACTTTGATTTTCTCTATTTCCTTAGTCCATATATTAATTAGTTGTTGCATATTTCTCTGGTTGTCCGCTATGGGTACCACCTTATTCTGCTTACAGTAATCCTTCTATCTTAACCAGTGTTAGATATTTGATTCACCTATTGCTTGTTCTTCTTTTTATATTTTTAAATAACTTCATAATATTCATAATTATGACGAATAGGAGGCACTTAGACTATCTCCCTATTTTATCCTCTTGTTCAGCCTAACTTATCTGCTGCCTACCATCTGAACTTTCCCCACCATTCTGCGGAACGTAGTTCTAATCACCTGTAATAGTTTTCCTGATATTCCTAGCTCCTGCGTTGTGTTCCACAGTGCTTTTAGGTCTACTGAGTTGAATACAGCTTTAATGTCTACGAAGGTAATACATATATATGTTCTTCCCTGAACATTTTTTCTTTTATGAACAAAACTTCTCTCTCGGCGGGCCTTGCAGCACCCATTTCCCCTTCGTTAGTGTCTCGCTCCTTAGGACTATAGAGCTTGGTCTGCCCAAACTCCAAAACATGTAGAGGAACGCTGCCGGTGATCGCACAGAGAGACGAAGCTGACGAAGTCCTGTCCTGTATGCACATGCTACCCGCATTTTTGTCCACTTGTATCATGAGCCTTTTGTAAGTTGGTATTTCTACGGCCCCACTCCAGACCTGGACCGCGTAGAGGACGACAGACTAAACAAAATCGTATCGTGCCCTACTCCTTTCGGAGTGCACCTCGATATTGGACATTGCCCTCCCCAGCGCAGCTGCGGCTGACTTGTGGAAAATTGTTAAATTAAAAATCATCCATGTTTGCAACCATAATTTGAATATTTTTGCGAAGAGAGTTAATGTATATTTGTGTATGCAATACAAACAAATAGATATGTCATCATGAAATTTACAAAACAATGAATACGAATTGTGCATTTATTTTATATTTATATTAATATATCCTCATTTATAGTTATTAACTTCAGCATTACATTTAATCTTGCTGCTTACTTGCATATCGTTTAAAATAATGTAGATTGTATATATGCTTTCCTGCTTGTTTTTAAATCATGCTTTTTTCCATCTATCAATTAGTATGGTGACTGCGATTCTTTATATGGATTTGGTGATTTGTCTCAGGTAAATATCATGGGAGGTATACGTTGTGTATGTCTTATATTATTAGTTTATTATAAGGTAAATGTTTGTTATGTGTTATTTATTTATGTTAGTTACATTGGTGCATGTGAAAAAAATGCAGTTGGCAGACAACTGATTAAAGAATAGTTATGTTCATAGTTTCACTCTATTTTTTTTTTATTTCATTTATTAGTTGACTTTACACGGAATAACTGCCGAGTTATTCGATATTATGTTGTACAGATTTATTCTAATAAATGTTCCTTGTTATAGATTTGCTAAATTCGTATTAACCCAATACAACATTTTTTATTGACACTAGTCACGTATATTCATCATTTGCCTGATCTCTTAGTTATAAATATTCACAGCCTAAAATATTTCTGATTTATGGGCGGCTGTATGAAACTTGAAAGTTTCTGGCATTGGCTTTTGTATGTCAGTTAACTAAAAAGGCGCTTACTGAATTGAGCAAATTTATTTGCGCGCACACTCACACGCTCGTGCGAGTAATTTTGATTTACCGCCAATATTTTACGCGTAGGGGTGCTTCGGTGCGTCGGTTTAGTTTTATACAAGATGTCAACAAGGAAAGAGATCATAATAGCAAGTATAGCCTACATAGTAATTCATAGTATACTTAGACAGAAAAAAAGCGGGATAGTAGATAACACTGTTGTATAGAAGCAGGCAGATATACATATAGTGGATCTGTTTGTTAAGAGATTTAAACTTTCAAGAAACCAGTGGACAATTTCAAAGTTGCGTTCATATGCCTTCGATAGATTTTGAAAAACTAGTGTTCCGGTTAAAGAACGATTAGCTATAACTATACGATTCTTAGTGACCAGAGATTCGTATACAAGTATGAAATACCTTTTTAAAGTTTTCTGGTAATATATCGTGGTTATACGTCATGAGATTTTTTCAAATTTAACCATAAATTTTAACCACCGTTCATCACGAATTTACAACGAACTAGAGAATGCATACTTTTTCATGTTCCAATAGTTTTGACTCCTTTACCTTTTTCTCTCAAAATTATCGTAACAGACTGCTCATTTCCTGTTTTTTTTTCATGTTCGTGTACTTTTAAATTATTTATTATAATGCATCGAATTTATTATTTCGTAAAAAATGCTGATGATGTTTGACTTACCATAAAATTTGATTTTTTTTACATTCGTCAATTATCTGGAAGCACTGTTAACCACTTCATTCTTTTAGAAATTTTTCGAAATTAAACAATTTTTAACTAAAATCAATCTGTACAGCGTAAGGGCACAATCGCTACATTCACAAATACCGTCCAAACTGAGCAAATTGATGCTTAAATATTCTTTGATGTTGTCCAGAAACCGACTACCAGCGGATAGCATTTGAGCAGGTTAACTTTATGCCGGCACACGTACAGTCCTAGCATTTTTGCGCGCACAGCGTTTGCAATAAAAGGATTTTTATTGCAAGCGGCAAGACTTTGATTTTAGTTACTTTTAGATAAATTATACATCCATATCCTTAAATCCGTATTACTTGATATACTTATCTACTTTGTAGATACCTCAATATGCATATACCTGGCCGACCGCGATCTTTGCTTATGCATTGTCATTCAATTTATCGAATTAAATCAAAATATTTAACTCAAGCGCATTTAGTTGATGTGAGAATTAAGATATGTCAAATTAATTAAAGGTTAAAATATTAATTGATATTTTTTCGTTATTGGCTTATAAATAAGTGCTTACTCTATGAAATAGAACACGAAAGCAATAACGGCACCAAAATGAATTTAGTTAAATAACATATCTGTCATTTTGATCATGTCAAAATTCAAAATTCCGCCCTTCATACCACGCTTACCGCGGTAAGGTTATTGAACCAAAAACAGATATGTCACAGTTGTTATAACCTAGGTGTTGAAATAGCACATACATATCATTCGTTTAACTTACAAAGTTTCTATTTTGTCGACATATAAAGTACTATTCTTCTATTGAAATAGAGAAGATGATACCAACACAAGAACATATAATTTCTATTGGTCGTCATATAAAAACATTGGTCGCCTTTGAATTTTAGTCTTATAGAAGAATCCTAAGAATACTACGGATTCAGTGCCGTTTTTGCTGCGTTTTAGCGGCTGGACGCAGGCCTTGGACTCATTGTCCTTGCGTTATCAATTTCCTTCTAGTGAGGTTTAGAAAGATTTATTCCTATTCAGGGTTCCACCGAGCCTCCATTTTAGACGCCCGGTCTTCTTGATAAAACCGGCAAGCTTCTCAATGTTAATCTCCGTCACTACCTAACCTAACCTCTTTGGGGGTTGTTTAGTGAGAGTGGAACCATTGCTGCCTCGCGTTAGCAAATGCTGAACAGTAAAATGTTCAGCTGTCTCTTCGCTCTCCTCACACCTGGGACACATTTCTGAGTGGCTGAGCCCGCATATGTGTTGGGGTCTCGTGAGGTTAGCGTGACCTGTGGGAGCGTACTACCTAAAGAATTTCATGTCTACTCAAAGCGGTTAGTTGGTTTCTAACAAGACTGAACTGAAGGCCTCGTTAGTCTGACGACAATCGCCCCTCACATTCTATCTTGGCAGGTGTTTAATTTGGCTATGATGATTTCCAACCTTCGATAAAAGATGGAACTTGAAGAGGAAGATTTGACGATATAGAAAATGTTACAAATTTTTTTCTTATAACCACAGAAATAAATAAAAATGTATTTTAAACATATCAATAGGCATTTTCTGTAGGACTTGGCAACATTTGATATATTATTGTAGTGCTAGTGTATTGTACTGTAGCAAACATAAAACATTATGCAACAACTTCTCCTAACTGCATGAATTTTGGTACATTGCATGTTTTAATTTTAATACTATCGTATCTTTACAAACAGTTTTTAATTTTTATTTTTCACAGTCTTCCTCCACATATGAGTCCATCTATGAACCCATCAACCCTCGCCCCCCAAGTCAGATGTCATCTCGTTCAAATTATTCACTATACGCTCCGTACGTCAGTGGAGCTAGCAGTACTGCCACTGGTCCCAGTCAGTCGGTAAGCCGCATTGGTCATCCTAAGGAACAAGAAGTGGATAGTTTGACTGATCTACTAGTACAAGGAATGAGAGGTGGAGAAGTGAGTGACGTTGATCAGGAAGATGTTTATGGTATTTGCGTAAAGTGTGGAGACAAGGTAAGCTAAATACATAAATATTATTGATAAAGACAGATTTATGTAGATGAAATACATGTTCCATATGTTCAAAACATACGTATATCGTTTAACTGAAAGCTTCTTTCATTCTTTGGAAACATTAGGTCCGATATTCACCCAAGTTTTATCCAAACAAACGGCGGTGTATCCTTGGGAAAGAAATTTTTTTATCTCACGCAAATGCTGATGCCTCCATTTCATCGGACCATTACATCATGATCGACTCCTCGTTTGCAAAAAACAAAGTTCATTTCATGGAGTATTCTCTACACTATTGTGCGTGACATGTTTAGTAAATCTTTGTCTTTTTTAACTAGTGCAAAAACTTTGTTCAATGTCGGCGGTAAATTTTTAAAGAAAAAACTATGTTTTCTTGTGTTTTTTTTACGGGCCTTAGCCCCCCTTCTATAGCTTCTTTGCGTATTTTAGAAATAGTAGTAGAACCTACCCTCTTCGTAGTACTTACTGTACCGATTAAACTTCTAACACCTTCACCTCTCTTTAAATTCAAGTGATAATTAAATACATTTAAAATGATTTGTTTTGCACGTATGTCCAATATATTCCCCTGGCTTAATTTTTAAATTTCCATTTACAATGAACATTGAACTGTGAAGTCAGAATAATTACTAAACAACCACAAAACCTTGTCATCGTTTTAGGTACGACGTATGAAGATATTTACTTTGAAATGACCATGATTCTAATGGTATGTTGTATTCTCACCGAGAAACAATTAACCTGTCGTTAATAGAATTAAAATAATATAAAATAAAATTATCTTTTGTAAATAGTATTTATTTAATTAAAATCATTTTCACTTCTTTTCATCTCTTATGTCTGGACACTTCTGGTAGTTACGTTAGAAAACATTCATTTTAATTCATTTCTGTAGACAAGAAAATACGAATACAACCCTGTATATTTTGCGTATTAATTTTCGAGACTTATAAACTTTGAAAAATTAAACTCATTTTAAACGATTAAAATAAATTATAGATCATAGGCGAGAATAGTGGCTGTACTGCGATGGACCAGTTATACCACACCAAATGCTTCACTTGCCACCATTGTGCAATAAATTTACAGGGAAAACCCTTCTATGCTCTAGATGGTAAACCTTACTGTGAAGAAGACTATTTGGTAAGTTTTCATTTGCATTTTGAGTATTTAACTTATTCAAAATATTTTATAATTTTTGTTATAGAATACCCTTGAGAAGTGCTGTGTTTGTCAAAAACCAATCCTAGATAGAATTTTGAGAGCCACTGGTAAACCCTATCATCCAAAATGTTTCTGTTGTGTGGTTTGTGGTAAAAGCCTTGATGGAATACCTTTCACTGTAGACGCTACCAATAGAGTCCACTGTATAGAAGATTTCCACAAGTAAGCTTATATAATTAAGTAAATAATTTATAAAAAGCGTAGTTGCTATGTTCGGGTCTTTTATTTTTCCTATTTTTCTAGTTCATAATAGCCGTAATTACTAGACTTATAGGTTCTTTATCTCAGTCTAGAAAAAAAAAAAAAAAAAATATAACTGATATCTGATCATTTTATAGGGGATATAGTTAATGAAAAATACGTACTGAGGTACTGTAAGATCGGCTCTATTTTTTTTTATAAACAAAGGCCAAATCCCGCAAATGTAGTTTTTTACCTGTAGCATTTTTTGATTATATTATAAGCAATTTTGTATGCATTAATAAACAATTGTGTTATAAAAGGACGGTTAATTTGAATTTTCACAAGTTAAAATCCATCAATAATTTGCTGAAATAATTGCAAAAACATTTTTTTGTAAAAATGTTAATATTTGAAATAATGACCGAGTAACATATAGCCGTTGATAATTAATAACTGTGTCTATCCAAGTGTGAAAAATTTCAGACAGATCGGTTTGTTAGTTACGAGTTATGTAGAGTTATTGTTAACTGTTTAGATATCAAAAGTTTAAACACTAATTGCTTGCTACGACAGGTTTCTATAGTTATTTAACAAAAAGCAGTGGATTCTTGAATAATATAACTACAAAGAAAAGTAAAAAAAAATTTTTTTGAAAAAAATGTCTTTAAAGTGAGTTTACTTTCTAAATTGTAAAATACGACAATTTTTAAATATTAAAAAAAAACTATTTAATTTATAGTGATAATTGTTTTCTATTGATTGTTAAGAAGGTTTTGAGGTTATACAAAAAAAATATTTGGCTCTTTTAGTTGTTTTTCACCACTGCAGATGGCGTCCTCCAAAAGATGCATTTTAATTCGAGAGACACTTTTCTGCCTTCCTGTAACAATTTTTTTTTAATTCCAATGGGATTCAATTCGTGAGACATAAAACTAGTAAATAAATCTTTAAAAAATAAATTTAAGGCCTTTATACGCGATTTTATAAATAGTTAAAAAACGCCTGTTTTGGGTGAATTTACCCTGTACAAAAAGGTGGGGTGGTTGTTTTTTAACTTGGTTGAGGTTTATTTAGTAGTCGTATATATAAAGTATCAAAAAAAAAAATTTTTTACCGATTTTGGTGTTTAGATTTTGAGAAAAACGTCTCCCAGTTTTGAAAAATGTGATTTCGATAAAAGTGTTTAAAGTATTTTCACTGTAATTTTATAGAATAAAATAGCCCTATTTATTGTTTTTAATCAGGTATTCCTGGTGCATATTGGGTGCCCTCATTGTCCAGTAAAAACTGTAAATGGTCGGTCAAAGCTTTTTTTCACAACTCTGCCCTCTTTTGATGTCTTGCTGCCCCTTCTACTCTTTCAAAATTGTAACTTTTCTTACAGTTTTGTGTGTTGGTACCAAGACGACATCTCTTTAATAAATCTTCCTCCCTAAGGGACTTAAACGCAGTAAAAACATGACTTTGTACACTAGGATCGACTGCTGGTTTATGTTTGTAAGTTTCGTTATTTTTCTTGCTGATTAGAAACTTACACCACTCCAGGTTACGGTTACAATACCCGTGCCGAGGTCTGCGCCTGAGGAGATCTCATGGTAATAACCAACAAGAATTTCTTTTTTCATGTCTTAGATACAATTTGAAATTATCTGAATAGCAAGACTATAAAAACAGATATTTCTCGAAAAACTTTTAGAGTCAACTTAGTCGTTTTAGGGCGTGAGTGGTTGAAGATTTGGCATTTTCAATCTCAGATTTTGATCTTCTACCTCTTCTTTTTTGTGGTTTCTTGTTCATTCTTTTTTTTTTTTTCTTCGTACTGTTTTCTTTCTTTTTTTAACAGTGTCACTTTCTTTCTTACATCTAATAATCGCCGACACATGCGCTTGCCTACCTGAAGAACACACTTCAGGTTGTTTATAACGAAATTATCCCCACACGACTTTGCAACAACGACATTCACGTACGTTTTGCTGTCACCATCACCGATATAATTCTGTGGATCTTTTAAAAATATTTACGGCTGAATCACCTTCCATTATGTTCTCCGGACCACATGGAAAACTCAACCTAGTTCAGCTCTATTTTTTTTACTGCGTGATAAGCAAAACGAAGATTTTACCTCCAAGTCAATAACTTTTCCTGTTAATTTCCCCATAATTAAAAAAATGCCCATCAAAGTGTTTTCGTAAAAAAAATAACAAAAATTCACTTTTTGTAAATTTAGAAAGTAAAAGTCCCCTTATATAAGCTGTTATAAAACTATAACAGCAAAGTTATTCTATTTCTAAAAAATAGAATAACTTTGTAAATTTCATGGTGCATCATTTTGATTAGGAGGACCAAAAAACTGATTAAAAAACACATTTAACAAAAAAGAACCTTCTACGATCAATAGAGGCCAAATTAGTATATTTTTTTAAATATATATCTTTTGTTTTTGAATATTAAGAGTTGAAATTTTCGCTGATGATCAGTTCATAACTGCTTTATTATGCAATTGATAAAGATGTAATTTACGTAATTTGGAATAAGTAGTAGTTCTTTAAATTAAAGGTTCTTGCGCAGACTCGGCCAACGGTGAATAGTGGGGTAGAAGTTTAAAGCCCACCAGATTTTTAGATTGGAACTTCAAATTGGGCGCACTGAAAAATTTGTAATCTCCGGTTCTAAAAAACGTATTCCATTAATTTTTTTAAACTGGGGTAACTCCACGAAAAATTGACAATTTCAATTTTGTTTAAAATTTGTTATCAGTATCATAAACGAATTTTTACACCATTTCAAAATAATGCAAATGTGAATGTTTTTAATAATCACTTATTTATATTTACAGAATATTTGCACCAAGATGTTGGGTTTGCAAACAGCCCATTATGCCCGAACCCGGAGAAGAAGAAACAGTTAGGGTAGTAGCACTGGATCATAGTTTCCATATTCAATGCTATAAATGTGAGGTAAGTAGTACAAATACGAAACAAAGGATTTCTTTTTTGACCTGATTAAAATCAGTACTCTCTACTAATGTACCTTGTTCATTTGTCAATATATTTTATTAATCCACATTATACCATATTTTTTGGAAACGGTCTGTTATACATTTGGCTTATTGTAGTCAATTGGTTTATTCATGGTACCCATTCCAGAATTCTGGAAAATTATTAACTTAACGATGTAATTTTGATTTTATTTTAGGATTGTGGACTTGTTCTCTCTTCAGAAGCAGAAGGAAGAGGTTGTTATCCACTAGATGGTCATGTACTTTGTAAAAGCTGTAACGCTAAACGTGTACAAGCATTGACAAGTCATATGACAACCGAATTGTGAAATCTATACAGTCCTGACGCTCAAATTTAATGAAGGTGATTACTGGCAACTTGAGGTTTTAGAAAGTAGATTTATAAGGTGATACCCTTTACCTTTTAAAATTGCCCTCGAAACAATGAAGAACAAAGTTATTAAATATGGATGTGAATTTTTTTACTGTTTTAGCACGTATTGTATAGATTCTCATGTTACGAATGTTCAGAGTGTCTACTACGGTTTAATCATATAAATATGGAGTTACGTCATAAAGATGATGTTGTTCGGGTTTAATCAGTCACAGTGTTGCCAAGATCAATTAAAACTTAAATTAACCTTAAAAAATAATAAAATTTTAGATTCTAAGATAAACTAAATAAATGAAAACATGAATTTACATAAGTAATAAAAATATTTTTAATACTGTTTCATGCTTTAAACGACTCGAGAGTATATACAGAAAAAATTAAAACTGGCTTGGTTTGATACAAATGATTACATGAAAATCGATTACAATGTTATAAAAGTCCAGGACCGTCGCAACGATAGTTAAATAATTGCGTTAATTAAATATTATAGCTAAATATAAATTGTAAATAATATTTAATAAGGAACTATCAAAATTAAAATATTTGTCTTAAGAGCATAGGTCGAATAAGTGTGGCATTACCTTCTAAGACTGTGGTCAATAATTTTTAGTTTTTTAGTAAACGGTTGTAAACAAGTAAGTGGCAGTTGAGCATCAAAGTGACATCCAATTTCCTAAGAATCTATATGTAACTATTTTAGATTATTGTTGCTCAGTGGTAAGAGAGCCTACCTTTAAACCTAAAGGTCGTGAGTTCGAATCTCACCTGGGTGGAAATTTTCGTTTATTATAAAAATTAATAAATGAAAATAATTCATAACCTTGTGTGATCGCTACTCACCAGAGGGACCGCAGACGTTCGGATACAATTAGCGTCTCTTAGCAAAGACAATGACGTCAACTGTGCTAAGTATCAAGACAATTACTCTACACACACAAACACACACACACACACACACACACACACACACACACACACACACACACACCACACACACACACACACACACACACACACACACACACACACACCACACACACACACACACACACACACACACACACCACACACACACACACACACACACACACAACACACACACACACACACACACACACACACACACACACACACACACCACACACACACACACCACACACACACACACACACAACACACACACACACACACACCACACACACACACACACACACACACACACACACACACACACACACACACACACACACACACACACACCACACACACACACACACACACACACAACACACACACACACACAACACACACACACACACACACACACACACACACACACACACACACACACACCACACACACACACACCACACACACACACACACACACACACACACACCCACACACACACACACACACACACACACACACACACACACACACACACACACACACACACACACACACAACACACACACACACACACACACACACACACAACACACACACCACACACACACACACACACACACACCACACACACACACACACACACACACACACACACACACACACACACACACACACACACCACACACACACACACACCACACACACACACACACACACACACACACACACACACACACACACACACCACACACTACATTAATAAACTTATCTTGATTGAGACTGGCTGAATGACAATTGTCCAAGCCAAAACACAAAAAAAAATAGATTATTGTTTTCTATGCCATTTTCTACTACACTACTACTCATGTTCTTCAAAACCTTTTCTATTTGTCTCAGTTTCTGATTGTTATAACAATATCTGTGCTGTGAGTGTTTCTTTCGTATTTGTTATTTGCTATTAATTATCATTTGCTTCAATAATTTTTTGTTGTTTGAATCAATAAAAAAACAATTTATATGAAAGAATTGTTTCAATATTTCCCTTTTAGGGAAATATTGTTTGTTGAGTATATTACTAATACATCGATAAGAAATTAACTGTAACTATCAAACGTATGAGCTTCCTGGCTACAGGAAACTCAAGACCGACAGAAGTGGAAGAAATTAAGGAAGACCTATGTTAGACTTTGGACGCAGAAGGCTGGATGATGATGATCATACTTATATTCACGTTAGCTTTACCAAGTACCAAAAATTTTACAAATATCCAGAAATATGATTGAAAATTCGTTTTACCAAGAGGTCAATATTATACTTAAAAAATTATAGTTAAAAAATTATTTTTTTTTACACCATTGGGTGTTTCCCTCTTTCTACTATAGACGTGTTCTTGTCTCTCCAATCGTCATTTTGGAGGTTTCTGATTTTCAAGTCATCTTCCACTGCTTTATTCCAATTATGCCGTCTCCATCTCATTCTTCTCCTTTGATGAGCTGGTTCCAACTTCCATATTTTCAAAGGCCATCTCTCTTCTGGCCTCCTCCTTAAGTGTGAGTACCACTTTTGTCTTTTTGTTTCTATGGTATATATTATTCTGTATCAACCTCAGATCCGCTCTTATTTGTTCATCAGTGACTCTGCTCCACTGAGTATCGGCAACTTCGACGCCAAAAATCCATTTCGAGTGCTTTTAATCTGTTCCCGCTTGTTAATCAGATCAAATTAAAAAATAAACATTTTTTTTACATTCTTCTAATTCTTGATTTAGTAGTACATTTTCAATTTTATTTTTTCGAATTCATCATAATCATACTCCACTTTCTGTTCCAACTGCTTAATTAGAACTGATATACTGCTGCAATCAGAAGAAATTAAGCAAAAGTAAAAATACCAAGAAATAATTAAGCAGTTGGAATAGAAAATAGAGTATGACTCTGATGAATTCGAAAAAATAAAAACTGAAAATGTTGTACTTAAACCTAAATCAAGAATTACATGAATATAAGAAAAATGTTGATTTATTTATGTTTGTAATTTTCTTATCTTTTAATCTGATAAGATAAAAAGATAAAAAAAATAAAGTTATAAATAAATCTATCATTTTTTTACATTCATTTAATTCTTGATTTAGGTTTAAGTACAACATTTTCGGTTTTTATTTTTTCGAATTCATCAGAGTCATACACCATTTTCTATTTCTACTACTTAATTATTTCTTGGTATTTTTGCTTTTGTTCAATTTCTTCTAATTACGTTATTATCAGTTCTAATTAAGCAGTTGGAATAGACAATTTAGGTATTACTCTGATGAATTCAAAAAATAAAAACTTACTACTTACTTACTAAATAAATCTTACGAAGAGACAATAATGCATTCTGCTGTATTGAGAAACACATACATGGAAGCTAGAATTCTACATGGTCTGGAAAACACAAGGTTTGTAGATTTAGGATCCAAAGGAAGTATTATCACGGTGGTAAAAATAGTGAGTTAGTATGTAAATCGACGGAGTATGTGTTTTTGCTTGATAGATGAGTTCACACTTGCAGATCACACTTACATAACTTTCTGCTTGTAAGACAAGTTAAGGCTTAGAAGTTAAACTTAGCCTACATACTAAGTTAATGGTGTAAGTATTCGTGCAATTCACAATGAATTATACAAACATTAAATATGTACAAAAAATGGCAAAGCTTCAAATATGTCGTTCAACAGCCAAGATTGAATGTATAATTTATGTTTTATATAATTTTTGTTCTATTTAATTTTGTTGGCAAAACTGTAATGGTTATACCCGAACTATACGTGATGTTACGTCTACTCCCTTATAGGTTTACCTTTTATTTTAAATTGTTGATGGTTCGACTTAATAAAATGCAATCATTTTGTAATTATAAGAAAGTAATAATCTAGAGTGGTACGGCATAAGAGATTGTGATTTTTGGGCAAGTTGTTTTTGTATGATATATTTTATAAAATGTTTTGACATTCCATCTTATTCGATTAATTTTAGATTGCCATTTTATTAAATTTTGATATATAGTATTTTCTTTTTTATAAGACTTTATAGATCTATATTGCTTACGCTTTTTATATATATTTTTACTCGGAAAGACGAAACATTTTCGATTGATGTTTTACAGCTCCCACTTTGACAATTTTTTCTTTTCATACAAAGTACCGAAAATGTTAACAAAAGAAGTTTATGTTTCAACAAAAAAAAGTAGAATTTAAGAACTCTACATAATTATTTTAAAATATTACTCTTGCTCTTCTGAGGACATTGACAAATTTTTGTGTTTTATTTTATCGACTGCTAGATTTCGTCCCATTTCTGGCTTTTTTGCGGTGGTTCTACGCACCATTCAATAATCTAACAAGATCTACATGATCACAAACAAAGTTAAGAATTGTTTATGATTCCGTATTGTCTCCATACTCTCTGGGACAGCAGCAGCAACCCCTGGAGGTTGTCTGTTGAATTCGCTAAAAGAGCTAGCAAAACTGAGTCAATGTTTGTTTAAAGAACAGCATCATTTCTTGTTTTTCATTAAACAAATTAGGGTGAAGTTTTGTCGCGCAGATTTTAAAAATTTTTAATATTAAAAATTTAATATTAGCGGGCATAACACTAACTAATATTTACCAGTAACTAACACCTTGCAAAGAGACTACTGAATAAATGCTGAGCTTCCAATAATTTCACCGACCTGCGAAATCGGTTAACTCCGGCGTAAAATGCATTCTAACACAGGTTATTAATAACTCCTAGCAGTTTGAACTAATTAATTTGTCTAAATAAAAGAAATGGGTTGAGTTTACCGAAAGTACAAGCTGAATATAGCCGCAAATGTCAAAAATATTTCAGTTTGGCAGTGTTGGCATGTTTTATAATGCATATGTTGTATGCTTTAAATATAAAGAGATAAAGCTTTTAAAATGTATATTTTGATTATACTATTTTATGAAATCTGCAATTTTTAATTGATATCGAGCAATAACGAGTAGATATTTGTCTCTTTCGAGATTAATTGCAAACATCTTTTGTAATCTGGCAACTGCTGATTTGACGGTTGCCAAATCTATCCCCTAATCTATCAAGGGTAATTGCTAAAATAATTCTAATAATTAACTGCAATTAATCTCCAAAGAAATAAATATTTACTCATTGTTGTTTTATATAAATCAAAAATTGCAGAATTCATAACATCTAACGCTTTATCTTTTTATATTTGAAGTATACAGCATCTACATTACAAAAACATGCCAACACTGCCAAATCGAAATTTTTTGTTCTATGTTTGACATTTGCGGCTATAATCAGCTTGTACTTTCGGTAAACTCAACCAAGAAATGCATGGTAGTTATTTTGTTCAAAATATATTATTTATTTTGAAAGAAATTGAAAGAATTATTTTTTTATTTTTGTCTTATTATCCAGTATTTATTACACACCTTCGCTACATCCCAGCTCCTTCCACATAATTTTGTATAAACAAGAAAGCAGTAAACAAAGTTTTGGCGTACCTATTTGACAGCTGAAAAATCAATTATGTAGAGTTCTTAATCTTGTGATGACCTTAAAACTTGTAATTCCTAAACTAGCTTTTTGATATCCGCTTTTATTGCAATATATTTTATGTCTTGTTTTTAGTTTAGGGAAATATCTGGTCAGATTATATTATGTGATTTTTAAGTTAGTTATTTTTTATTATTGTGCCAATGTAAGCTAAGATATTCAATAAAGGTTATCAATATTGGTGATTTGTTTATTTTTCTGAAATTCGAAAATTGAAAAATTGCTAAGGGTATAAACTGACATTGATTTATGTGTCCACCAACTTTGTACCATACATAGTGAACTAACTTACTAAGAAGTAAACTTAAAGCACTGACACATTATGTGTTGAGGGTTGAGAGGTGAGACACACAATAAAGATAGACATAAAATAATAAAAAGAGAACAGGAAAGAGTGATACAGTAGGTGTGTGCAACTTTTCAAAAAAAGTTATACAGTAGGCGATACTCTAGACTATCACGAAGCTTCATATTATGTTTTGCCTATCTTTAAAATTGAATAAAGTAATTTTATTATCTATTTATTATTTTTATAGATT